AAAGCGCAAACAGGTCTGCACCCACCAGAGTTAAATGTGCCCACTTCAACAGAAACACTGACTGCTGTTTCTTCAAGGCACGTATGCTAATGTGTAAAAATACATATGCATCTCAGCCATGAAAAGGCCTTTTTATTCCAAAGGTTGTTATAAACATATTTTACAGGATATTTAGATAAGTCGGTATAGTTCCAATAATAGAACAATGCTTTTTAGGCCTTATCTCGGACTCCACGCCTGGTGATGTTTTTCATGACTGATTAGGATTCCTGGCATTTTACCTCTTGCCAAAACAGAGTGGTATTTGCCTTGAGAGGCATGCTAAGCTTCCAAGGAAATGAATAGAAGTCTGCTAAACACTAAGACGCAAAGAATACTGCAGGTGATGGGAGTCTAAGTCCAAAAAGTGGTGCAAGAATTGATAAATTAACCATTGAGGAATGGAACTTGGTGAGGGAATAAAATAGATTCCAGCCTTGTGAAACTTTTAAAAAAACCTCTATTTACTTGACTTAGCGCTTCAATCATGCTAATTTAGGAGCTTTGATAGTAAAACTGTTTTCTCTGACATCAAGCCTCGGGTAATCTGTGACAGAAAGGGTGCATTGGGCTTAAAAACAGGTCAACATTATCCACAAATTTGTCAAAAATGTCCAGCATGTACAGTAGCTTTTATAAATGATGCCTTTAATGCAAAGGGGCTTTAAGACATCTGCTCAAGAAGAAACACTGGACTTTTTGAGATTATGATTTGATACGTTCATATATTTGGCCAGCTCCTCTGCTCTGTTCAAATCGTTAAAAAGAGGGGGGGGGAGTCATTTAAAACTGAGGGAAAAGATTGTTAAAAAAAAAAAAGATATCAAGTGAAATCAAGTTTATCCCTTTAAGAACTTCTAAACAGCTAATGTTGTGGATCATTCTTTAAGACCGTGTGCCATTAAAATACTCTTATTATTTTGTAATCATTTCCCCATTCATCATATAAAGGTCATGCACTTATCAAATCTTTCAAACAGAAATAAAACACCCATATTCCTTTTCTTTCTCTATTACCTTACAGAAACTGAAAGGATCATACTGTTGTTATTAAGTTCTCTTATCAGTGATCTTTAGCTGTCAGCTCGCATTAATCACACTCACTATTTCTGCTTCTTTCTATGATGATGTCTTTCTCAGGTTGTGTTCCCCTAATGGCTCCAAAGTGCATCCTGATTGCAAGAGTTGTCGGTTTGGGACTGCACGCTTTTCAGTCACGGTAAACTGTTGCGTGGTTGAATGTGTGCAGACTCAGGGTCAGCTGCTGCAAGAATGCATCATGTATAATGCAAGACTTCAGCGCATGATCATGCATGTCCCTGGATTGAACTGCTTATGAGTTTAGCAGGAGTTATTTGATTGCAGTTTGAGGGCTATTTAAGGAAAGATAACCTCCTGATCCTCTGACTGTTGAACTGTCTTCAGAAGAGGAGACAGTGCTGTGAAAGCTGCTTTTGATGTATTTGTAGGCACTAATATGTTTTTGATGTTTATAAATGAACCCTCATGATGTCATTGTATGATATAGCGAAACTGTTGATTGGCTATAGACTGTATATATATAGACGTATATAGAATGGACAGCCCAATTCCTCGCCTCAAGTGAAGCCAAACGATTTAGAGCTCCCTCTGCTGACTGGCTGCTGTACTGGTCTTAAAACCCACCCCCTCCATATTTACAGATAGGACATGGGTCAAACTTTAAAATCAAATACATATCAAATGTATTTTTCTCAAACCCAAATTTGTCCTTATAGTGAGTTATTGACACACTGATTTGTGCTCAAGTCATCATTTCTTACTTAATTAGTTATTTGATGCTAAAGGGTTACGTTCTCTTCAAACCAACACAAGAATCTTTTCTGCTAAGACACCGCAGACCTGAGCTTTCTTATCAGTTTTATAAGTAAAATGTGTGTTTCTGTTAGTGGACGTAGTGTGACGTCAATATCACAGCTCTTCTAGCTGACCCCTGTTGCTCAGAATCTGGCTCCAAACTCGCAATATGTCAGCGCCTGTCACAGGGAATTTAAAGGTGCTTTCAGATAGGGTGCATTGTTCATGAAATCCTCAGGGCATGATAGGATTTGGAAGTATTCAATGCCTCTGGCCACTTCCAGGTGTACTTCAGGCTGAGTAGGGAGTAATTTGACAGCCTGCTGGGGGAGTTGCACTAGAGTGAGGAAAGACTTCAGGTAGTGGATCACACCGACAGAATGTCTGAGGTGGGTCTTGTTTGTTGTGATCTGATCTTACCCCTCTTTTGAATGAGAGGTGTCGTCACAGAGCACCCAAGTGTACATTTTTTAAACTTCTGAGCACACAACCTTGCGTTGCGCTCAGCTCAGATAGCTCTAACATTGCCCAACACATGGACAATTAATTAATCAATAATTAATCCTATTTGAAAGCCCCTTTAGGCTTTATCTTTATGCAGTATAGCATGAGGAGGAGGCCCATTCTGACTATATATACAGTCTATGGTTAAGGCTTGAAACTGACCACCATATTCATACAACCATCACTTTCCTCTGACGTCATGCTCAGGAAAGAAAACTCAAATGCTTTATGATATTGTAGTGCTGTCTTCGAAGTTGCACACCTTATAAACATAATAAATCTGATAATTGTTAACATTCATGGCTTTACAACTGATCCGTAACTTAAAGTAAAATGGATAGTTAAATATCAGGACATATTTGTAAGATAAATCTACATGAGCTCACGTTAGACAACAGCTTGGGAAGCAACAACCACTTTGGCTTATTCTAATGCTGATGTTAGCTGTTGTCTAATGCTAGCATGTGGGTTTTCAAATATGTTGTTTTTGCTTGAAAGACGGTCCAGTTTTACTTTGGGGTTTCACTGTCCATTGTTTTGTCAGTTCCTGTCCCATACAGAAGTGGGTAAATGATAACAGTTTGTTATATTCCCTTAAAGTTAAATACAACCTGTAACACAGTAGTAGCTAAAGCATAATGACATTAATAGAGCTTCCTAACTGAACATGATGTCAGAGGCAAAAGGGGCTGCCATGTGAGCATGATTCATTCTGTCTTTTATGTCTCTTGTGTGTAGCCAACTTAATGGAACAGTAAATCACTGAATGACCCCTGTGCTGCTGCAGTGCATTCAGTGAAAGAAGTAGGTGGTCTCCCTGCCTCTTGTTCAATACTGTTATCCCTGTTTGATGCTCAATATTGTTGTAAAAGAAAAGTCTATTTAGAGAAGATTGCACTTTAATTGAACCAATATTCAATATTGATGTCAATTGAAGGAAAACAAAACAATAATAAAAACCCTACAATTAGTACTATGTGGACGCTTGTCATGATACCAGAATTTTAAACTTTGATATGATCTTGATATCTGTTTCCAAGGCAACAACAATAAAAGTCCTAGGCACCGTATATTGGAATAATTCTTGTTTTTAATCACCAAAACTTGCGACTTCTGCACTTGGTCTAGGTTGCACAAAAACATTTGTAAATTTTCAGACAGTGTCTCCTCCTTAGTCGACTCCGATGCTCTCTGTCTTGTCTCTCTGTCATACGCTCACGGCTAAGTTTAAAAAGTAAGACTGAAGCTCTGCAGTTTTTTAGAGCTTTGGTTCTTTTAGACACTAATAATCATTAAAATAACAGAGATTGTTTTGTCTTAATACATCTGGTACTTAAACATTGTGCAATTAAGAACGTGTCCCCTCCTATGCTCTGTATATTTTTGTAAGAGACATAAATGTAACTTTTGCAGCTTTATGAGACCCCAAAGGACTTAAAGCGTCAGTAATCACCAATTTATTAATCTAATCTCTCTATTTTGTTTGCAGTAGCTCTGGGTTAAAATGTGATTTAAGATTTGTGTGTTTTTTTTTTTAAAGGTTTATTTTTAGGGTTTTTATGCCTTTATCTTAGAGATAGGACAGTGGCTAGAGTCAGAAATCAGGGATAGAGAAATTGGGATCTGAAATCCACTACAGGCGGATTTGCTCCTGGGCCACCCAGTTGGTCAAATTGGCCTCCATACTGTACATGGGTGATGCACGCTAACCGCTAGGTGCCCCCGAATTACAGGCTTTTTCTAACTTTGTTGCATTTCAATACTATTATTACTATTACAACAGAGATTGTTTTTTTTCTACAATATGTGGTATCAAAAAGTATCAATTTATCTGAAACTTTGACAACCTTAAGCCAGTGTCGTGGGGAGGAGGGGTTTTCCTACAGGTTCAGGTATCTCTTATTATGAAAAGGCTGTGGGTGAAATTAAAGCTCTTGTGGTTAGATCAGATTCTATATGAGGTTGAGATATCAATAACAGCAGCATGATCCTTTGAAACAAAGACAAACAGACGCCCTTCATACAGCTGTTCTATAAAAGACTAAAGAATGTCACAAACCATGGCACACTCAGTAAATGACATCTAATGCACATGCTAATATTGGCAACAATATTTTGGCTTGATGCGTAGTGAGACCCTTAAATTATATGATTGCTTATAGAAAACAATACCTGATGCTTTAAGTCATTTGAAAATCTCTGTCTGCAGTGAGGCAATGGAGTAGTACATAACAGCAAAATTTTCTTCAAGTTAAGGTGAAACAAGCATACTCCCTTTTTGAAAAATAGCATTTCCCCAAGTGTGCATCATTTGGTATGAAACCAAAGTTCATATATCAATATTGTACTGTAAATCTGAAAGGAGGAAGTTCATTAAAGTTTGTGTAAATGGAGAAAATCTCTTGAAAAAATAGACATCCATGCTTCATGCTTTGCATCCCATTTAGTCCACGCTTGCTGTTCCACGCTGTGTTCATCACCTGTTTCCATGAATTTCTTTATATTACATACAACCAAAAAGGGAAAAAAGTGCTGAAATTAGATTTTGGTAAGGAGCAGCATTGCAATTGTTTGACCTTATCTATAAAACATGGAAACTCATTTGTCCAGTGTGTAAGGGTTTAGATGGATTTCCTTCTCCTCATGAGCTGGTGATTGTCTGAGAAGCTGTGAAGCCCTGGAGACACCGAGCTGATGGGCGAGGGGAGGAAGCTGTTTTTCAAGGTGCTTGGTGAGATCTCCTCGATCCTGTAGGAGACCGAGTGAAAGTACTGATTGGGATTCAGCTGCGAACTGAATGAGTTCTGATGGGAGAAAGCACATCCCAAGCCTCCCATCCCTCCCCCAGAGCTGCCGAAGTCATGCGAGTGGTAGTGCATACAGGAGCAGACTGACTGCAAATCAGTCACTTCTGCCCGATACGGTTCACGCCGCCGCCTGCCTCGCGGTAATGATTCGTCCTGGATGTGGATGATCATGCTGTTTCGGTTTCCTGCTAGTGAAGCCCGTTCTTCTGCATCCCGCCGCTCGTCCTCGCTGTTCATAGTCAGGAAGCGGAGCACCACCAGGTTTAAGAAGGCCCCGATGACCGTCAGGCCCACCAGGATATACATGAAGCTAAAGGCCACATACAGGGGCTTCTTCTGGAGGGCCCGGTTCTTTTGAAGGGCCACAAAGTCCCCAAAGCCTATAGTTGTTAATGTAATAAAGCAGTAATAATATGACTGAAAGAAGCTCCAGTCCTCGTAATGGGAGAAGGCAGCAGCCCCAATGCACAGAGTGCCAACACAAGAGAAAAATCCTACAGTCACCATGTTCTCCATGGACACGTCGGTGATGCTCATGCCGCAGCACTTCTTTATCCGCTTCAGGAGGTACTTGACAAAAGTGTTCATCCTCTCACCCAGACTTTGGAACATGACAAGAGTCAAAGGGATCCCCAGGACGGCATAAAACATGCAAAAGGCCTTCCCTGCGTCTGTCCCAGGTGCTGCATGCCCATAACCTGAAAAGAGAGCAGACAGAGAGAAGAAATGAGTGACGTAGGAACATGTTACCATAGAGCGTGGCATTTATGTAGCAGCAGTGGGGTCACAAGAGCTACCGGCCTCTGAAAAAGCCCCACATCAGCTTGTATTTACAAACATGACCAAGCAAGATATCTTCTCTAAGAGTCCGCGAGCACTGCAAAAAGACGTATTGAATAGGTGCGCACTACAAAAATGTGTCCGCTCATTAATCTTATTTGGACTCAAAGATTATGGCAAGCAGGGCGTCCAATTAGTCCAAAGTTTCCGGCGAGGTATAAGAGTTTGGAGGAGGGATTGAAAAGAAGTCACGGGGGAGCCAGTGAGGCTTTTAGCTTAATTAAACTTTATCTTTAGACCACAAGCTGCTGACTCACACACAAACAGTCTTTATAAAAATCAACCTGGGTGGCCAACAATAGGATGTATACACTAAATTAGATGTAATTTTCAAATGCATTATAAATGATTTGATATGCTTTGCTGGGTACTCACAGTTACTTTGGAGTTACAGTATGAATGGAGCCTACTGCGTTTAAATCTTCAGGGCTGAAAACAGAGAGTCATATTGATTATCTCTCCACCAGCACAGACCATCACTGCGAGCATTAAACACCAAAATCTTGGCCAAGAAACACCCACCATCAGTTGGCATGTGTATCACTTCAACAACCACCTCCCAGAAGGAGACATAATATTTCTGGTGCAGTGTTGAGCTTTAACTTATCTATTTCAGACATGTCCTGAGCAAGTTCTGTGTTTTGAGCTCTTAATATTGATTCTGTCTTTTCCCATATGGCTAACTACCCACTCGTGCATGTGTTTAGTCATGCGCTTAAAAAAAAAAACTCTAGATCTAGCGGATTTGCAACCAGAGCACTTACATTTAAGTACAATATGCACTATTGGCATAGAACTTCAATAAACACGCTGTGTCAGTCGTGTAATTAGCATGGTGGTATCAAAGGTTCAAAGGTTAGATTTTAATGACTCATATTTAAATATTTGATCCTGAAGGGTTTGTTTACTTTTTTCTGTACCATTTATCAGTCGGCTCAGTCAGTCGCCTCTTAACCGGAAGGTTGGGGGTTCAATCCCCAGCTCCTGCAGCAACATGTCCGATGTGTCCTTGGGAAAGACACTTAACCCTGAATTGCTTTTGCAGATTCGTCTGTGAATATGAACGTGTATGAATGGGATTAGTTACTTCTGATGGTACTTAGCAGCCGCTGCCATCAGTGTTTGAATGTGTAGGTGTGACATGCGGTGTAAAAGCGCCTTGAGTAGTCAAAGACTAGAAAAGATCTATACAAGCTGAAGTCCATTTACCATGAATTACCATAAATGCTTCATCTGTCTGAGTTAATTGAGAAAAAAAGTGGCCTTTTGTCTTCAAAGTCTTCAGTTTACAGCTAATCTATTTATTAGCTTGTTTTAGCTTTTAATTAGAATTTTATTTGACATACTTTATTAATCACCGAGGGGAAACACATAGGTCATCAATCACACACATGCACAAACAGGACCTATGCATGCATTAATGGAGAGATGTCAGAGAGAGGCTGCAACACAGGGAGCGCGTCAGAGCTGTAGGAGGTTCTTTGCCTTGCTCAAGAAAAAAAAAAAATGATCCAGCTTTACAATTACATGACGTACTGTAAAAAGAATTGAACACAACATGACATGAAGTGTTGAATTTTAAATTAAATTAAATTAAATACCTGTACCTGTAGCCATTTTGTGCATTGTCTATCACTTCTTTTAAATTATGCAACTCAGAGCACTTTAAATGCACGTTGACCCAACAGTTAAATCAGTATCCCCCTCAGGCATGTTGCTGTCTGCTGAAAAAGAGAAGATCATTCCTCAGGCATGTTGAAGCATTAGGTTTGAAGGAGCTGCTTAATTTTCAGCTAAATCTGTGATAGAAAGATATCTCACTCTGACACTCGTCAATGCTGCAAAAAAACTAAAAATAAGTGAAAGAGTAATCCAGTGTCATCTTCTTGCTCACATCATTTGGCTCTGAAATGGATTCAGTTTAAGAAATAATAAAATATCACCACATGTTTTAATTTGGATTTAAGCTTCGCACACACTGAAATATATATTTTTTAATTTTAACCGAATATGGCACATGACGACAAATCATGACAGATTAACAGTTCAGATCTCATAGTGTGTGGCGTGCAACGAGACGACCAACTCAGCACACCACACACTAACCGATTCATTCACCAACAACCAGAGTCTCAAAAATATCAAAATGTGTAATCTCATGTGGTCAAATGCAACTTTAAGCCTTTAAGAGTCAACAAACATGACGGTCAAGCTTAATGTAGCTAGCTGTTAGCTGGTAGATCCTGTACGGTAAACATTTTGCTCCTTTCCTCATCAGTTGGATTGTGGTTTGTTTTACAGGACACCTTGTAATATAACTTGTGTTGCTCCCACAAATCAACAAGTTGGTCTTTAATTCATGACGTCCATTTAACTTTATGCTTCGCGTTTGCTGTCGCCATGGTAATGTTTGCAGTGCTTCCTGCTTCAGTCAGCTTGCTTCCTTATTGGCTATTGTTCAGTTCCGCCCTCAGTGTTCTCCCAACACCACAGGATTTCTGATCGTGAATATTGAACACGTTTAATAATCAAATACCATAATAACCATAATTCAAAGAATCAACCTTCCCATGTTTTTTTTTTTTTTTTATATTTCTTTTGTAAAAGCATGAGAAAAAAGAAACGTGATTAAAATGCACACAGACTCATGGAAACTCCAAAGCATCTATCGTGAAAAATATATTTTTTTAAATTGCATTCGAATTAATTGCAGTGCAGGTTCAACCATATGTCTCCTTAATTCATTTCTCATGTCATATGACGACACAAATGTCTTACTTGGTAATGAAGACTTTTGTCCAAAAATGTATTCAGGTGGTTTGATAATCTACAGTACTTAAGGAAAGTTTCATTCTATTCAAGCTTATATGAATCTTATATGCTGTCTGGAAAGCAGAATAAAGTTTAAAATGCTGTGGCATGCTGTGGTAAATGGTAGGCACAGACTTCTAAATGCTCTAAATGATGCAGAATCACTGGTCATTTCCTTTAAGGTTGAGTTCCGTGCAGGAGGCTAAAGGATCGGCTGCAGGTCAGCAGCAGCACACCGTGCCGCTCATGTGCGCTGACTGCAAATGAGCTGATTGAATTCCTCGCACTATGAGCAGCAATACGTACATTATTTTGGCTACTATCATCATTTTGCTCCCCTTATACAACAAAGATATATAATAAGCAGTATGGTACTTTGTGCAAAAGAGATAAACAACCCCTATATGATGCAAATCTGTGACTGGCTTTACCATGAATGACGACATGAGAGGATTTTGTTTCTCACAGGAATTTATTTAGATTTACTCACTCATAAGGTTATATTGAAAAACTTCTGTAAATCACTGAGAAAATCAATCTCCTTCAAAGCTAAACATCATGTGCGAGATGTAGCAAAATATGCTTATGGCAATCATAATCACATCTCAGGACAGATCTGTATTCCACCAGCCATCTGTCTTTCTCCCTCCTTTCAAAATTGGCAAATTAATTGATATTGAGTCTTGTTGCTTAAATTTGTTCTCGCAGAGTAATCAGGACATAATGAATTACACTGGCAGCTGTAAAGAAATTACAAATTTGATTTGTCATGTGCTACAATTTGACTGTGTAGAGTGATTATCACAAATCTTCCCGAAAGGTCATCTTTCAGCATTGTGTTTTACACTCAGAGGTGTTTCATTTATTTATTTTTTGTATGAGTCATTTGAGGTTTCTGGGCTAATATGTCTCTCGTCTCGTCAGCCTCTCCCTGCTGCATGCAGCCCACAGTGTATAAGATGTTGGTTCTACAGCTGCCCACTGCAGGGTTACCCTAGTTATGGTCAATTATTGATATGCTTTGACAAATAAGTGACTATATGTCCCTGTGACAAAGGTTGATAGTATACATTTTCAAAGTCTGGGACTATAAATTGAAATTAGAGATCATTTCATCAGAGTTTGAGCTTACATTTTATAAGCCGTATAGCTTCTATATTCATCAGATAATTACAGGGATTTACAGGAGCTCAATGAGACAGAGACAGAGTGTATACTAGCTAGTAAAGTCCTTTTTTGTGATTTCAAATTACTGTTCAACCCTGTGTTGGGAAATAAATGCAAATTAGAAGCCCATCAAATGTTTTGCTGTGTGCCAGACGGCTCTCTTTGTCACTGAGGAGACCTCTGTCCAGCACAATGTGTGTAAGTTAGCTTTCTAGCTAACTCCTTTATGTTTACATGCTATGCTTTTGTGCTGATATTTATAATTGTGCTTTTTTACTATAAGAACAGAAAAACAGAAGAAATAATAATGAAGAAAAAAACATTTCACGTTGATGTTGTTTTAATACCCTAACAAATGACTGCAGTTTGTTTGGGTTTAGCCATTAAAACGGTTTGTGTAGGTCTACAAAAAAAGTCAACTCTACACAGAGAGGTAGAGGTTTGACCAGAAACATTCATGCTGTGAGGCAACAGTACTGAACACTGAACCACCAGGCAGCCAATGACATAGCTTATGTCTCTTTAAATAATTCAGCTCGATTTTTTGTCTTACAATGGACACAATGTTAGCTTTATTTATAAAGCACTTATAAACACATAGTTTCATGAGTCTTGTAGTCAAGACCACACTAACCGAGACCAAGACATACCTGAGACCAGAGTGCTCCGAGACCGAGACAAGAACAATACATTTAGGGATTGAGACAAGACCAAGACCAAGACCAAGACCAAGGCAGGGCCAATACAAAAATATACACTATTTATGAGTAATCATTAACTGGTAAGGATAACGAGAGTATTCAGATATAGAAATGACTTAAAAAATGCCCATCCCTAGTCCCTAGTATGGATGGTGTTTTAAGGTGCAAGAAAAAAAGAG